TCTTATCTCCAATAGCCCCAACACTTAATTTCTTCCAACATCATTCAAAAGTTCATCTTAGACTCAAGACAAACTGTTCTCAGCTGTGAGCCTGAAAAATCAAGAACAATTTCCATACTTCTAAGATACAGTGGTAGGTCATTCCTATTCCAGAAAGGAAAAATAGAAGTAATAGGCCCAAAACAAGACCAAACCCCAGCAGAGTAATACATCATACTTTAATGCTACAATTCTAGCATCCTGTGCACAAAGGGCAAAACATACCCACTAATACCCCCAAGGAGTTTGCTGGTCGTAAGCCACATAGCTGCACTTTTGGGTTGAATGCTGATACCTGAGCTTTCCTAGATTGGCATCTCATGCGCCTGGTTGTTCTGCCTTTCTGGGTGCATGCTCTTGATTGCCCCACTGTGTTTGTACTCCCACAGCACCAGCAGGCTGACGGTCTTTGCCGGTACCCTGACTCTGCTGCAGACTTCTGCCTGGCTTCCCATGTATTCATTTGAAATCTGGGTGGAAGTTGTCATGACTTCACAGTACTTAACATTGCACACCTTCAAGATCAGTACCACATGGATGCCACCAATATGGACCATAGTCATGAGTGGTACCTGGGCCAACTCTAACCATGCCTCAGGCTGACTTCACTAGCACCACCCTGAGGTGTCCCTGGGCCTTGTCTCTATAGGCATGTGCTAAGAAGTACTGCCTTAAAGATTTCTAAGAAACCCTCAAGGCCTCTTTCCTATTGTCTTGCTAAGTATCTTCTTTAACAAGCAATTGCACAGCTGTTCCTGAATGTTTTTTCCTCTTTCCATAAACAGACTGTGTATTTTTTCAGGTTTTTTTTTTTTCTGCCAAAATTCTGTTTCCTTTTGCTCTTGAGCAAAATATTCAAAAAATTCTTCCTGTACATTTGCTAGAAACTTTGTCTGCCAGATAAACTAGTCTTTCATCCTTAAATTTGGCTTCCCATAAAGTTCTAAAGTATGTACACAATGTATCAATGTATCCAAGTTCTTTACAATGGTATAACAAGGGTGGTCTCTAACTCCGATTTCCAATAGGATCCTTGTTTCCTTTTGCAATTAGTTCTTAGTTTCCTGCTCTTCAAAGTTGTCACATTATAATATTTTAGGCTTTTTCTACCCAGTGCCTCTAAACTCTTCCAACCTCTGCCCACTACCAAGTTCCAGTGGTACTTTCACATTTTCAGGTGTAGTTATAGCAATGACCCTGCTTCTCACTACCAGTATTCTACGTCAGTCTGCTTTCTATTATGACAACAACAAAAAAAATACTCAAGGCTGGGTAACTTGTAAAGAAAAGAGGCTTATTTGGTTCACATTTTGGAAGATTTAACGTCTTGGCACTAGCATTGGCTTAGTTTTGGTGAGGATCTCCTGGGTGATGGCATCAGAATGGTGGAAGCACATACAGAGTGGAGAGTTCATATATCAAGATGGGAAAGTAGAGACCTAAACTGATTTTTGACTTCTCAGTGCCATGGTTTTTGAGTCTGGCTATACATATATTCAAATCACATAGGGAGATTGATTTAATAAGTCTGAAATAGCTGGTGACTATAGTTTTTAAAAACCTATCTGTTGTATATTGCCTTGACAAATACTCAGCTCTAATTTCATGTATTGTTGATGTCATATTTTGAAAATAGTTTTGTTACTGAAAACCATCTACAGATTTAATGCAATCCCCATCAAAATTCCAATTACATTCTTCACAGAAATATCAAAAATAATCCTAAAATTCATTTCTAAGCATGAAAAACCCAGAATAGCCGAAGCAATCCTGAGCAAAAAAGGCATTGTTCAAGGTATCACAATATCCAACCTCAAATTATACTGCAGAGCCATAGTTAAAACAGCTTGGACTGGCACAAAAACAGACACAGACAATGGGATATAGTAGAGAACCCAGTACTAAACCCACACACAGCCACAGCCATCTGATTTTTGACAGACAGAGGTGTCAAAACATACATTGGAGAAAAGAAAATCTGTTTTTCACAAATGGTGCTGGGAAAACTGCATATCCACATGTATAAGACTGAAAAGTTATCTCTGTCTCTCAGCTCTGTACAAAAATCAGCTCAAAATGGATCAAAGACTTTAAGACCTGAAACTTTGAAACTACCAGAGAAGCACATAAGGGAACCATTTCAAGATACAGGCAGGGGTGGGTGGGAGCTTTATACACTGTGGTAGGAATGTGAATTAGTGCAGCCACTGTGGAAATCAGTATGGAAGTTCCTCAAAACTAAAAATAGACCTTCCATATGACCCACCTATACCATTCTTGAGTGTATACCCAAAAGAATCAAAGGCAGCATATAGTAGAGATACCATGATTATTGGGATCTATTTATAATATCCAGTCAGTCTAGGTACCAATGAATGAATGAATGGATAAAGATAATATGGCATATGTGCACAATGGAGTTATTATTCACCCATTAAGAAAAATGAAATTATGTAAGTTTTCAGGAAAATGGATTGAACTGGAGATCATGTTAAATAATATAAGCCAGACACAGAAAGACAAGTATCCTGTGTTTAGTCTCATATGTTGCATCTTTTTTTTTAATTTTTATTTTATTCATATGTGCATACAATGTTTGGTCATTTCTCTCCTCTTCCCCCACCCCCTTCCTTACCCCCTGCCACCTCCCTCTCCCTCCCCAACCCCTCGCTAACTGACAGAAACTATTTTGCCCTGATCTCTAATTTTATTGAAGAGAGAGTAGAAGCAATAATAGGAAGGACCAAGGGTTTTTGCTAGTTGAGATAAGGATAGCTATACAGGGAGAAGAAATGCATTGATTTCCTGTACATGTGTGTTACCTTCTAAGTTAATTCTTCTCGAACTAACCTTTTCTCTAGTTCCTGGTCCCCTTCTCCTATTGGCCTCAGTTGCTTTAAAGTATCTGCTTTAGTTTCTCTGCATTGAGGGCAACAAATGCTATCTAGTTTTTTAGGTGTCTCACCTATCCTTATACCTCCCTTTTGTGCTCTCGCTTTATCATGTGATCAAAGCTCAGTCCCCTTGTTGTGTTTGCCCTTGATCTAATGTCCGCATATGAGGGAGAACATACAATTTTTGGTCTTTTGGGCCAGGCTAACCTCACTCAGAATGATGTTCTCCAATTCCCTCCATTTACCAGCGAATGATAACATTTCGTTCTTCTTCATGGCTGCATAAAATTCCACTGTGTATAAATACCACATTTTCTTAATCCATTCATCAGTAGTGGGGCATTTTGGCTGTTTCCATAACTTGGCTATTGTGAATAGTGCTGCAATAAACATGGGTGTGCAGGTGCCTCTGGAGTAACCTGTGTCACATTCTTTTGGGTATATCCCCAAGAGTGGCATTGTTGGGTCATATGGTAGATCAATGTTTAGATTTTTAAGTAGCCTCCAAATTTTTTTTCCAGAGTGGTTGTACTAGTTTACATTCCCACCAACAGTGTAAGAGGGTTCTTTTTTCCCCGCATCTTCGCCAACACCTGTTGTTCGTGGTGTTGCTAATGATGACTATTCTAATAGGTGAGGTGGAATCTTAGTGTGGTTTTAATTTACATTTCCTTTATTGCTAGAGATGGTGAGCATTTTTTCATGTGTTTTTTGACCATCTGAATTTCTTCTTTTGAGAAAGTTCTTTAGTTCACTTGCCCGTTTCTTTATTGGTTCATTAATTTTGGGAGAATTTAGTTTTTAAAGTTCCCTGTATATTCTGGTTATCAGTCCTTTGTCTAATGTGTAGCTGGCAAATATTTTCTCCCACTCTGTGGATGGTCTCTTCAGTTTAGAGACCATTTCTTTTGTTGAGCAGAAGCTTTTTAGTTTTATGAAGTCCCATTTATCTATTCTCTTAGTGGCTGAGCTGCTGGGGTTCCATTGAGAAAGTTCTTGCCTTTATTAATTCCAGAGTATTTCCTACTCTTTCCTGTACCAACTTTAGAGTTTGGGGTCTGATATTAAGATCCTTGACCCATTTTGAGTTAATATTGGTATAGGGTGATATACATGGATTTAGTTTCAGTTTTTTGCAGACTGCTAACCAGTTTTCCCAGCAGTTTTTGTTGAAGAAGCTGTCTTTTCTCCATCATATATTTTTAGCGCCTTTGTCAAAGACAAGTTGGTTATAGTTGTGTGGCTTCATATCTGGGTCCTCTATTCTGTTCCACTGGTCTTCATGTCTGTTTTTGTGCCAGTACCATGCTGTTTTTATTGTTATTGCTTTGTAATATAGTTTGAAGTCAGGTATTGTGATACCTCCTGTATTGTTCTTTTGACTGGGTATTGCCTTGGCTATTCGTGGCCTCTTGTGTTTTCATATAAATTTAGTGGTAGATTTTTCAATCTCTTTAATGAATGTCATTGGAATTTTGATGGGAATTGCATTAAACATGTAGATTGTTGCATCTTTAAAAAAAAAATGGAACTGTGATCATCATTTTAAGCAAAATAAGCCAGACTCAGAAAGACAAGTATCTCATTTTTTCTCTCATATATAGCATGATTAAAACAAACTAACAAAAAAAAGACATGAAAGTAGAAGGGCAACTAGTATAGAATATGAAGGAAACTTGGGGATAAGTGTATATAATGAGAATAAATATGATCAAACTGTGTTTTAAAATGCAGAATAAGCATCATTCCGAGGTAACTTGAATATCAGCAGGTTTTTAAAGATACTTCAGCTACTTAAGATACCATGTTTCTCTACCATGGTAGTAGAAATAAACTTTTTCTTGTGTAGACCACATAGAAGAAAAGAGAGCATACTTAGCAAGTTACAAATAGCAGTGTCGAATAAGGAATCATAATAGTTTGCAAAGATGAGCCTCCTTGGGGCTCCCCAGCTTGGAGGAAATTAACCTTTAGTGAAGAAAGGGTTAATTACTGATTGTATGTGAACTTGAAGATATGAAAAATTTCTTCCAAATCTGAATATGCTTTCTTCTTGTCTGCCAACAGGTACAACTGTAACTGCTTTAAAGCTATTTAAGAATCTACCTGTAAGAAAGCAATTTTACTCAACTGCGAAAAAATGTAAAGATGAAATAAAAAAGATTCAGGATCTCCTCGTAAGCTATGGCATCCTTAAACCTGAGTTAAGGATTGTTTTTATACATAATAAGGTCAGTATATTTTATAAGATTTTTTGGGTAGATGATGTCAAAAATGGATAGTGTATTTTATGTAATTTGGATATGTGCCATGGACTGAATGTTTGTGTACCCACAACCCAAATTCATTTTTGAAAAACCTAATCACCAATATGATTATATTAGGAAACAGGCCCTTTGGAGGTGATTAGATCATAAGGGGAGAACCCACATGGATGGTATGAGTGCCCTAATAAAAGGGACCCTACAGAGTTACTTTCCCTCTTCTGTCATCTGAGGACACAGTGAGAGGCACCACCTACAAACCAGAAGGTTGGTCCTCACCAGAGACTGGGTCTGCAGGAAATCTTGGATTTCCCAGCCTCCAGTAGTGTGAGAGAAAAAATTTTGTTTATATGCTATCCAGTGTATGGTATTACTTTGTAGCAGTTCAAAGACAATATGTAGTCCTTTTTCAAAAATGCATTCTACATAGATTTATTTTTATTATGCAAACAGCATCTTTTGATTTGTCATCTAATATCTATATGAAATGTTATTGAACCTTATGTTAGTGATTCCCCCAAAAACCTTTTTCTTTTTTTTTTTTTTTTTCATTTTTCCTTTTATTATTCATATGTGCATACAAGGATTGGTTCATTTCTCCCCACTGCCCCCACCCCCTCCCTTACCACCCACTCCGCCCCCTCCCTCTCCCCCTCCTCAATACCCAGCAGAAACTATTTTGCCCTTATTTCTAATTTTGTTGTAGAGAGAGTATCAGCAATAATAGGAAGGAACAAGGGTTTTTGCTGGTTGAGATAAGGATAGCTATAACAGGGCATTGACTCACATTGATTTTCTCTGTGTGTGTGTTACCTTCTAGGTTAATTCTTTTTTATCTAACCTTTTCTCTAGTACCTGTTCCCTTTTTCCTATTGGCCTCAGTTGCTTTAAGGTATCTGCTTTAGTTTCTCTGCGTTAAGGGCAACAAATGCTAGCTAGTTTTTTAGGTGTCTTACCTATCCTCATCCCTCCCTTGTGTGCTCTCGCTTTTATCATGTGCTCATAGTCCAATCCCCTTGTTGTGTTTGCCCTTGATCTAATGTCCGCATATGAGGGAGAACATACGATTTTTGGTTTTTTGAGGCCAGGCTAACCTCACTCAGAATGATGTTCTCCAATTCCATCCATTTACCAGCGAATGATAACATTTCGTTCTTCTTCATGGCTGCATAAAATTCCATTGTGTATAGATACCACATTTTCTTAATCCATTCGTCAGTGGTGGGGCATCTTGGCTGTTTCCATAACTTGGCTATTGTGAATAGTGCCGCAATAAACATGGTGTGCAGGTGCCTCTGGAGTAACAGTCTTTTGGGTATATCCCCAAGAGTGGTATTGCTGGATCAAATGGTAGATCGATGTCAGCTTTTTAAGTAGCCTCCAAATTTTTTTCCAGAGTGGTTGTACTAGTTACATTCCCACCAACAGTGTAAGAGGGTTCCTTTTTCCCCGCATCCTCGCCAACACCTGTTGTTGGTGGTGTTGCTGATGATGGCTATTCTAACAGGGGTGAGGTGGAATCTTAGTGTGGTTTTAATTTGCATTTCCTTTATTGCTAGAGATGGTGAGCATTTTTTCATGTGTTTTTCTGGCCATTTGAATTTCTTCTTTTGAGAAAGTTCTGTTTAGTTCACTTGCCCATTTCTTTATTGGTTCATTAGTTTTGGGAGAATTTAGTTTTTTAAGTTCCCTGTATATTCTGGTTATCAGTCCTTTGTCTGATGTATAGTTGGCAAATATTTTCTCCCACTCTGTGGGTGTTCTCTTCAGTTTAGAGACCATTTCTTTTGATGAACAGAAGCTTTTTAGTTTTATGAGGTCCCATTTATCTATGCTATCTCTTAGTTGCTGTGCTGCTGGGGTTTCATTGAGAAAGTTCTTACCTATACCTACTAACTCCAGAGTATTTCCTACTCTTTCTGTATCAACTTAAGAGTTTGGGTCTGATATTAAGATCCTTGATCCATTTTGAGTTAATCTTGGTATAGGGTGATATACATGGATCTAGTTTCAGTTTTTTGCAGACTGCTAACCAGTTTTCCCAGCAGTTTTTGTTGAAGAGGCTGCTATTTCTCCATCGTATATTTTTAGCTCCTTTGTCAAAGATAAGTTGGTTATAGTTGTGTGGCTTCATATCTGGTCCTCTATTCTGTTCCACTGGTCTTCATGTCTGTTTTTGTGCCAGTACCATGCTGTTTTTATTGTTATTGCTTTGTAATATAGTTTGAAGTCAGGTATCGTGATACCTCCTGCATTGTTCTTTTGACTGAGTATTGCCTTGGCTATTCGTGGCCTCTTGTGTTTCCATATAAATTTCACAGTAGATTTTTCAATCTCTTTAATGAATGTCATTGGAATTTTGATGGGAATTGCATTAAACATGTAGATTACTTTGGCGAGTATCGACATTTTTACTATGTTGATTCTACCATTCATGAGCATGGGAGATCTCTCCACTTTCTATAGTCTTCCTCAATCTCTTTCTTCAGAAGTGTATAGTTTTCCTTGTAGAGGTCTTTCACATCTTTTGTTAGGTTTACACCTAGGTATTTGATTTTTTTTGAGGCTATTGTAAATGGAATTGTTTTCATATATTCTTTTTCAGTTTGTTCATTATTAGTGTATAGAAATGCTAATGATTTTTCTATGTTGATTTTATATCCTGCTACCTTGCTATAGCTATTGATGATGTCTAGAAGCTTCTAAGTAGAGTTCCAAAAACCTTTTTCATCCTAGAAATTTTAAGTGCTTCCTTTTATCAGATATTGTGATAAATTCTGATGATCTAAAGATAAGTAAGATTTGTTTTAGTCCTTTAAAGGATTCACAGTGTAGTAACAGTTTTCATCTTCTAAACTTGTTTGTTTTGTTTTGTTTTGAGGAGTTTGTTTTTTTTTTTTTTTTTAGCATTTCTTTCCATTTTTCAGAGCACAGGTGATAGGGAAAAGAATTCATCTCAATGCTTAAAGAATCTTAGAGCAAAGAAAGATTTACATATTTTCTGATTATTGTTTTTCCTTAAGTTCTCCATGAACACTTTGAAATATTTAATAGAAAGAGTTTAGTGTATTAGTGTGACATGGTAGTTTCCTGTAATTCTCATAGTAAGAAATAACTGAGGTGGCTATTAGATCAGTTTTACATTTGCCCTCAGAATGGAGCTTAGAAGATTAATACTTACCTCAGCGTTACACAACTAATAAACTGTTGAGATGAGATATGAAACATCACATTTTTTGCAGTACAAATTCTTTACACTCTACTGTGTTCTCTTCCCATGTTAATAAATACATTACATTTATATAATTCTTTTCCAGATTTCAGAATACTTATAGTAACTTTGAGATAAATAGCATTGTCTGTATTTGTATGTGGAACTTGAAGGTCAGAGTGATGAAAGAAATTCTTTCATATTTTTTAGTAGGTAATAGTGCTGAGATCAGAATCTATTTTGATCCAGTGTTCTTTTACTCCGTGTCTTTTTACTCATTTATCAAGTAGAGTCTTTATCTTCAATGTTTAAGTTGTGGTGAAAGGTTAATGATGAAAATCTTTGGTCATCTTTTAAAATTTAAAAAAAAAAAAAAAAAAACATTGAGAATAGTCAGCCACCTGTTCCTGCTGGCGTAAAGTTCAACCAAATGATACGGTGAGATCCCTTCCAGCTCTACCATGCTGTGATTGCTCAGGATGTTGATGGATGGAGGCTCATCCTGCTAATATAAATAACCCTATAACCTCTTGATCCAAAGGACATTTAGTCACTAAAAGTTAATGTCCCCAAGTTTAAAAAAAGACCAAGGTCTGAAAAAAAACAATAATCAAGAAGGGAAAACTGATGAAATATGAAGAGAAGTAGGACCTGATATTTGTAAATGAAAATGAGTACAATAGAAAAATTTAAACTAAAGGAAAACAGACAAAAAACATACTGAAAATGAGGTTATCAGAAGAATTTGAAATCATATAAATTCTTACTCATTTAAAGTCAGATATTCATCTTTAAAGTTTTTAAGTTTATCATTTTCTCAACCAGTGTAAGATTATGTAGATGTTTTCTTCCTAAATGGAAAACAGTATTTTGTAGTATTTTTGGAGGACATTACAACTGAACTTCCATTAAGCAACTGGAAGTCCCTCCATGGCCATCAGTAATTTCAAATGCAGTTAAAATCAAAGTATGATGAGAATGTTATACCATGAAAATATCAAAAGTGTGATGGTAAAATTGTTAGCTGTTGTTATTATACAAGGAATTCATAGACTAAATTAGAATAAGCTTTGTATCTTCAAACATTTTTCTGTTAATACAGATTACTATTCTACTTTTTTGTTTCTTAATAGTCCTGTTGTGCCTCAAAATACATTAAAATATATTGTTAAAAATATTCCAAAGTAGCATTGACATTTTACCATAAATCTCTTGAGTATTGAATCCTACTCTGCTCCTAGCCTTTTTCTTTTAAACATGCTTATTTTCATCATTCTTCGAGTGTGTTTGTGAAGTTTTTTCTTTAAAATCTAAAAATGACAATACTAATGTCTTTATTTTTTTTCTGCTTTATAAACAGTCATATTGCACATATATGAGAAGTACTATTGCTATTTTGATAACTTGGATTAGATAGTGTTCCTTCTTTTTATGAAGGTTTAACCTGCCAAGACATTCTTTGAATACTGATAATGTTGATGTTCCTGCCAGTATGGTTATGTTAGAAAGAGGTATTTTTCTTCTTTCATCACCATGTTCCTTGAAAGCATACTGAATAATGAGACAGCCAAAGGAAAATAATTTACAAGTGGATTCAACAAGTTTATTTAAAGTAGATATTATTTGGAGAATTGCTAGAGCCGTTCCTTAGGTGAACACTTACAGTTTTCCAGCTTAGTCATAGAAGCTGAATCTCTGTGAGGTCCTGGTGTGTGTATTTTCATTTAGAAAGTAGTTATTTCCCAGAATTAAAAGT